TCATTTTGGGGGTGTTTATCATTTTTGGGGGTGTTTATGATTTTGGGGGATGTTTATCATTTTGGGGGACGTTTATCATTTTGGGAGATGTTTATCATTTTGGGGAGTGTTTATCATTTTGGAGGATGTTTATCATTTTTGGGGGTGTTTATTGTTTCTAGGGGATGTTTATTGTTTTGGGAGTGCATTTATCGTTTTGAGAGTGTTTATCATTTTTGAGGGTGTTTATCATTTTGGGGGTGTTTATCATTTTTGGGGGTAGTTGTATCATTTTTGGGGGATGTTTATCATTTTTGGGGGGGTGTTTATCATTTTTGGGGGGTGTTTATCGTTTCTGGGGGGATGTTTATTGTTTTGGGGGTGGATTTATTGTTTTTGGGGGGGGTGTTTATCATTTTTGGGGGGGTGTTTATCATTTTTGGGGGGGTGTTTATGATTTTGGGGGGGCGTTTATCATTTTTGGGGGGGACGTTTATCATTTTTGGGAGGATGTTTGTCATTTTTGGGGAGGTGTTTATCATTTTTGGGGGGTGTTTATCATTTCTGGGGGGATGTTTATTGTTTTAGGGGTGCATTTATTGGTTTTGGGGGGGTGTTTATCATTTTTGAGGGTACGTTTATTGTTTCTGGGGGTGTTTATCATTTTGGGGGACGTTTATCATTTTGGGGGATGTTTATCATTTTTGGGGGACATTTATAATTTTTGGAGGTGTTTATCATTTCTGGGGTTGTTTATCATTTTTGGGGGTGTTTATCATTTCTGGGGGTGTTTATCATTTTTGGGGGTGTTTATCATTTTTGGGGGTTTTTAGCATTTTGGGGGTGTTTATCATTTCTGGGGGGTTTTTTATCATTTTTGGGGGGTGTTTATCATTTCTGGGGGTTTATCATTTTTGGGGGGTTTTTATCATTTCTGGGGGTTTTTATCATTTTTGGGGGGTGTTTATCATTTCTAGGGGGTTTTTATCATTTTTGGGGGTGTTTATCATTTGCCCCTGCCCAGCTGTCGGTGGTGGAGTACGACCCCGGCACCCACGACCTGAAGACCCTGTCCCTGCACTACTTCGAGGAGCCGGAGCTCAGGGTGGGGCCTGGGGGGGTTATGGGGTGGGGTTTGGGGTCTCCCCCATTGTGGGGGGCTATGGGGTGGGATTTGGGGTCTCCTCCACATCTTGGGGGTCCCCCGACCTTCTGTGCCCCCCCATGTCCCCCCTGAGATGGGTCTGTGCAGAATGTCCATACCCCCTGGGTGTGGGGGGGATCTGTGGGTGGATTTTGGGGTCCCCCAATGTTCTGTGTCCCCCCAGGACAGGTTTGTGCAGAACATGGGTGTGGGTGGGATCTGTGGGTGGATTTTGGGGTCCCCCAATGTTCTGTGTCCCCCCAGGACGGGTTTGTGCAGAACATGGGTGTGGGGGGGATCTGTGGGATCTATGGGTGGATTTTGGGGTCCCCCAATGTTCTGTTTCCCCCAGGATGGGTTTGTGCAGAACGTGTGCACGCTGTGGGGGGGATCTGTGGGATCTGTGGGTGGATTTTGGGGTCCCCCAGTGTTCTCTTTTCCCCCAGGACGGGTTTGTGCAGAACGTACACACGCCGCGGGTGCGGGTGGGATCTGTGGGGGCTCTGGGGTGGATTTTGGGGTGCCCTGACCCCCCTGTTCCCCCCAGGACGGGTTTGTGCAGAACGTGCACACACTGTGGGATCTGTGGGGTGGATTTTGGGGTGCCCTGACCCCCCTGTTTCCCTCAGGATGGGTTTGTGCAGAACGTGCACACGCCGCGGGTGCGGGTGGGATCTGTGGGGGCTGTGGGGTGATTTTGGGGTGTCCCAATCCTGTGTTTTCCCCCAGGACGGGTTTGTGCAGAACATGGGTGGGATCTGTGGGATCTATGGGTGGATTTTGGGGTCCCCCAGTGTTCTCTTTTCCCCCAGGATGGGTTTGTGCAGAACGTACACACGCCGTGGGTGTGGGTGGGATCTGTGGGGGCTCTGGGGTGGATTTTGGGGTGCCCTGACCCCCCTGTTCCCCCCAGGACGGGTTTGTGCAGAACGTGCACACACTGTGGGATCTGTGGGGTGGATTTTGGGGTGCCCTGACCCCCCTGCTTCCCCCAGGATGGGTTTGTGCAGAACGTGCACACGCTGTGGGGGGGATCTGTGGGATCTATGGGTGGATTTTGGGTTCCCCCAATGTTCTGTGTCCCCCCAGGACAGGTTTGTGCAGAACATGGGTGTGGGTGGGATCTGTGGGGGCTGTGGGTGGATTTTGGGGTCCCCCAATGTTCTCTTTTCCCCCAGGACGGGTTTGTGCAGAACATGGGTGTGGGTGGGATCTGTGGGTGGATTTTGGGGTCCCCCAATGTTCTCTTTTCCCCCAGGACGGGTTTGTGCAGAACATGGGTGTGGGTGGGATCTGTGGGGTGGATTTTGGGGTCCCCAGTGTTCTCTTTTCCCCCAGGACGGGTTTGTGCAGAACGTACACACGCCGTGGGTGTGGGTGGGATCTGTGGGGGCTCTGGGGTGGATTTTGGGGTGCCCTGACCCCCCTGTTTCCCCCAGGACGGGTTTGTGCAGAACATGCACACACTGTGGGTGGGATCTGTGGGATCTGTGGGGTGATTTTGGGGTGCCCTGACCCCCCTGTTTCCCCCAGGACGGGTTTGTGCAGAACGTGCACACGCTGTGGGTGGGATCTGTGGGGTGATTTTGGGGTGCCCTGACCCCCCTGTTTCCCCCAGGACGGGTTTGTGCAGAACATGCACACACTGTGGGTGGGATCTGTGGGATCTGTGGGGGGGATTTTGGGGTGCCCTGACCCCCCTGTTTCCCCCAGGACGGGTTTGTGCAGAATGTGCACACACTGTGGGATCTGTGGGGTGGATTTTGGGGTGCCCTGACCCCCCTGTTTCCCTCAGGATGGGTTTGTGCAGAACGTGCACACACTGTGGGATCTGTGGGGTGGATTTTGGGGTGCCCTGACCCCCCTGTTTCCCTCAGGATGGGTTTGTGCAGAACGTGCACACGCCGCGGGTGCGGGTGGGGGCTGTGGGGGCTGTGGGTGGATTTTGGGGTGTCCCAATCCTGTGTTTTCCCCCAGGACGGGTTTGTGCAGAACATGGGTGTGGGTGGGATCTGTGGGTGGATTTTGGGGTCCCCCCCATGGTGTGTGTCCCCCAGGACGGGTTTGTGCAGCACATGGGTGTGGGTGGGATCTGTGGGGGCTGTGGGTGGATTTTGGGGTGCCCTGACCCCCCTGTTTGCCCCCAGGACGGGTTTGTGCAGAACGTGCACACACTGTGGGATCTGTGGGGTGGATTTTGGGGTGTCCCAATCCTGTGTTTGTCCCCAGGATGGATTTGTGCAGAATGTGCACACGCTGTGGGGGGGATCTGTGGGATCTATGGGTGGATTTTGGGTTCCCCCAATGTTCTGTGTCCCCCAGGATGGGTTTGTGCAGAACGTGCACACACTGTGGGATCTGTGGGGTGATTTTGGGGTGCCCCAATGGTGTGTGTTGAGGCTGGCCCCTATTTCTAGGGCCAGTTTTGTGCATTCCCCAGGACGGGTTTGTGCAGAACGTACGCCCGCAGCGGTGGGATCTGTGGGGGCCACACGCCGCGGGTGCGGGTGGGGGCTGTGGGATCTGAGGGTGGGTTTTGGGGTGCCCTGACTCCCCTGTTCCCCCCAGGACGGGTTTGTGCAGAACGTGCACACACTGTGGGTGGGATCCGTGGGGTGGATTTTGGGGTACCCTGACCCCCCTGTTTGCCCCCAGGATGGGTTTGTGCAGAACGTGCACACGCCGCGGGGGACTGTGGGATCTGTGGGTGGATTTTGGGGTGTCCCAATCCTGTGTTCCCCCCAGGACGGGTTTGTGCAGAACATGCGCGTGTGGGTGGGATCTGTGGGGGCTGTGGGGTGGATTTTGGGGTGCCCTGATGCCTCTGTTTCCCCCAGGACGGGTTTGTGCAGAACGTGCACACGCTGTGGGTGGGATCTGTGGGGTGGATTTTGGGGTGCCCCAATGTTCTGTTTTCCCCAGGACGGGTTTGTGCAGAACATGCACACGCCGTGGGTGCGGGTGGGATCTGTGGGGTGGATTTTGGGGTGCCCAACCCTGTTTCCCCCAGGACGGGTTTGTGCAGAACGTGCACACGCCGTGGGTGGGGGATCTGTGGGGCTCTGGGGTGATTTTGGGGTGCCCTGACCCCCCTGTTCCCCCCAGGACGGGTTTGTGCAGAACATGCACACACTGTGGGTGGGATCTGTGGGATCTGTGGGTGGATTTTGGGGTGTCCCAATGTTCTGTGTCCCCCCAGGACGGGTTTGTGCAGAACGTGCACACGCCGCGGGTGCGGGTGGGATCTGTGGGATCCATGGGGTGGATTTTGGGGTACCCTGACCCCCCTGTGTCCCCCAGGACGGGTTTGTGCAGAACGTGCACACACTGTGGGATCCGTGGGGTGGATTTTGGGGTACCCTGACCCCCCTGTGTCCCCCAGGACGGGTTTGTGCAGAACGTGCACACACTGTGGGATCTGTGGGGGCTCTGGGGTGGATTTTGGGGTGTCCTGACCCCCCTGTTTCCCCCAGGATGGGTTTGTGCAGAACGTGCACACGCTGTGGGTGGGATCTGTGGGGGCTGTGGGGTGATTTTGGGGTGCCCTGACCCCCCTGTGTCCCCCAGGATGGGTTTGTGCAGAACGTGCACACGCCGCGGGTGCGGGTGGACCCCGACGGGCGCTGTGCGGTGATGCTGATCTACGGCACCCGCCTGGTGGTGCTGCCCTTCCGCAGGGACTCGCTGGCCGACGAGCACGACGGGCTGGTGGGAGAGGGGTGAGTGCCCCCCTGACCCCCCCGGGGGCCAGGACACCCCCTGAGCCTCGTTATTTCCATCCCTGAACCCCGTTATTTCCCCCACTGAACCCTGTTATCCCCCTGAACCCCGTTATTTCCCCCACTGAACCCTGTTATCCCCCCTGAACCCCGTTATTTCCCCCACTGAACCCTGTTATCCCCCTGAACCCTCGTTATTTCCACTGAACCCTGTTATCCCCCTGAACCCCATTACTTCCCCACTGAACCCTTTTATTTCCCCCTGAACCCTGTTATTCCCCTGAACCCTCTGTTATATCGCCCCCTGAACCCCGTTATCCCACCCTAAGCCGTTATTTCCCCCCCTGAACCCCATTATTTCCATCCTTGAACCCCATTATCCCCCCTGAACCCCGTTATCCCCCCAAGCCCTGTTATATCCCCCCCTGAACCCCTTTATCCCCTGAACCCCTTATTTCCCGAGCCCCCGTTATCCCCCTGAACCCCAGTTATCCCTCCCTGAACCCCGTTATTTCCCTAAACCCTTTATCCCCCCTGAACCTCCGTTATCCCCTGAACCCCTGTTATCCCTCCCTGAACCCCTGTTATCCCCCTGAACCCCGTTATTTCCCTAAACCCCCTTATCCCCCAAACCCCGTTATCCCCTCCTGAGCCCCCGTTATCCCCCAAACCCCGTTATCCCCCAAACCCCGTTATCCCCCTGAACCTCTGCATTTCCATCCTTGGAGCCCTGTTATCCCCCCCTGAACCCGTTATCCCCTGAACCCCCGTTATATTTCTAACCCTGCGACTTCCGAACCCCGTTGTCTCCCCTGAAGCCCTGTTATCCCCCCACTGAACCCTGTTATCCCCCTGAACCCTGCTATTTCCATCCACTGGAGCCCTGCTATCCCCACTGAACCCCGTGACTTCCCCACTGAACCCCAAGTTATTTCGCCCCTGAACCCCGTTCTTCCCTCCTAGACCCTCTGTCATATCGCCCCCTGAACCTGCTATCCCCCTGAAGCCTCGTTTATTTCCCCCTACTGAACCCTGTTATCCTCTGAACCCCAAGTATTTCCCACTGAACCCCGTTACTCCCCCTGAACCCCGTTATTCCCCTGAAGCCTCTGGAAGTTATGTCGCCCTGAACCTCTGCTATCCCACCTTGCCGTTATTTCCCCTGAACCCCATTATTTCCACCCTGAGCCCACATCTCTGAACTCCTCGTTATCCCCAAGCCTGTTACATCCTCTGAACCTCTCGTTATCCCCCCTGAACTCGCTTATTTCCGAGCCCCCGTTATCCCCGAGCCCCCGTTATCCCTCCCTGAACCCTGCTATCCCCCTGAGACCCGTTATACCCCCTGAACCCCGTTATCCCCCCTGAACCCCTGCTATCCCCCTGAGCCCCGCGTATCCCCCCTGAACCCTGCTATCCCCTCCCTGAACCCCGTTATCCCCTCTTGAGACTCTCAAGTATTTCCTAAACCTCTCTTTATCCCCCCCCGAACCCCGTTATCCCTCCTGAGCCCCGTTATCCCCCAAACCCCGTTATCCCCCAAACCCCGTTATCCCCCTGAACCCTGTCATTTCCATCCTTGAGCCCTGTTATCCCCCTGAACCCGTTATCCCCCTGAACCCCGTTATTTCCCTTAACCCCGTTATTTCCCCTGAACCCACATTATCTCCCCAAGCCCTGTTATCCCCCACTGAACCCTGTTATTTCCCTGAACCCTGTTATTTCCATCCCTGAGCCCTGTTATCCCCACTGAACCCCGTTATCCCCTGAACCCTGTTATATCGCCCTGAACCCGTTATCCCTCCTGAACCCGTTATCCCCTGAACCCCGTTATCCCCCTGAACCCCGTTATTTCCCCACTGAACCCTGTTATCCCTGAACCGTTACTTCCCCACTGAACCCTATTAATTCCCCCTGAACCCCGTTATTCCCCCTGAACCCTCTGTTATATCGCCCCTGAACCCCGTTATCCCACCTAAGCCGTTATTTCCCCTGAACCCCATTATTTCCATCCTTGAACCCCATTATCCCCTGAACCCCGTTATCCCCCAAGCCCTGTTATATCCCCCTGAACCCCTTTATCCCCCTGAACCCTTATTTCCCCGAGCCCGTTATCCCCCTGAACCCCGTTATCCCTCCTGAACCCGTTATTTCCCTAAACCCCTTATCCCCCTGAACCCCGTTATCCCCCTGAACCCCGTTATCCCCCTGAGCCCTGTTATCCCCCTGAACCCCGTTATCCCTCCCTGAACCCCGTTATCCCCCTGAACCCCGTTATTTCCCCTAAACCCCTTATCCCCCAAACCCGTTATCCCCTCCTGAGCCCCGTTATCCCCCAAACCCCGTTATCCCCCAAACCCCGTTATCCCCCTGAACCCTGTCATTTCCATCCTTGAGCCCTGTTATCCCCCCTGAACCCGTTATCCCCCTGAACCCGTTATTTCCCCCTTAACCCCGTTATTTCCCCTGAACCCCATTATCTCCCCAAGCCCTGTTATCCCCACTGAACCCTGTTATTTCCCCCTGAACCCTGTTATTTCCATCCCTGAGCCCTGTTATCCCCACTGAACCCCGTTATCCCCCCTGAACCCTGTTATATCGCCCCCTGAACCCCGTTATCCCTCCTGAACCCCGTTATCCCCCTGAACCCCGTTATCCCCCTGAACCCCGTTATTTCCCCACTGAACCCTGTTATCCCCTGAACCCCGTTACTTCCCCACTGAACCCTATTAATTCCCCCTGAACCCCGTTATTTCCCCTGAACCCTCTGTTATATCGCCCCTGAACCCCGTTATCCCACCCTAAGCCGTTATTTCCCCCTGAACCCCATTATTTCCATCCTTGAACCCCATTATCCCCCTGAACCCCGTTATCCCCAAGCCCTGTTATATCCCCCGAGCCCCGTTATCCCTCCCTGAACCCCGTTATCCCCCTGAGCCCCGTTATTTCCCCCTGAACTCCATTATCCCCCTGAACCCCGTTATCCCCCTGAACCCCGTTATTTCCCCTTAACCCCATTATTTCCCGAACCCTGTTATCTCCCCAAGCCCCGTTATCCCCCTGAACCCGTTATTTCCCCCTGAACCCCATTATCCCCCTGAACCCCATTTTATCCCCCCCTGAACCCCGTTATTTCCCCCCCCAGGCAGAAGAGCAGCTTCCTGCCCAGCTACATCATCGACGTGCGGGAGCTGGACGAGAAGCTGCTCAACATCATCGACATGCAGTTCCTGCACGGCTACTACGAGCCCACCCTGCTCATCCTCTTCGAGCCCAACCAGACCTGGCCCGGGTCAGTGGGGGCTTGGGGGGGAGAGACCCCCGGGAGCTGGGGGGACACCCAGCTTTGGGGACACCCCCCGAGACGTGAGCCCTGAGGGGAGGGGGAACGGGGGCACTCTGGGGGGCCCAGTCCAGGGATCTGGGGGACACAGGGACAAGGGACAGGCTTGGGGGGTCCCAGGGGTCAGGCTGTGCCCCCCAGGTGACAGCGGTGTCCCCACAGGGGGGTGGCAGTGCGGCAGGACACGTGTGGGGGTCAGGGGTCGGTGTGTGTGTCCCCCAGGTGACAGTGGTGTCCCCACAGGCGGGTGGCAGTGCGACAGGACACGTGTGGGGTCCCAGGGGTCAGGCTGTGTCCCCCAGGTGACAGTGGTGTCCCCACAGGCGGGTGGCAGTGCGACAGGACACGTGCAGCATCGTGGCCATCTCCCTGAACATCCTGCAGCGCGTCCACCCCGTCATCTGGTCCCTGAGCTCCCTCCCCTTCGACTGCACACAGGCCCTGCCCGTCCCCAAACCCATTGGTGGGTGACAGGGACAATGACAGGGATCCCTGCCCGTCCCCAAACCCATGGGTGGGTGACAGGGACAGTGTGGGGACAGTGATGACGTGATGATGTGGTGGTGGTGACAGTGTGATGGCAGTGGTGGTGATGGTGGCAGTGACTGTGTGATGGTGGTGGTGACAGTGACACTGTCCCTGTCCCCAAGGGTGGTGATGGTGACACTGACACTGTCCCTGTCCCCAGGGGGGTGGTAATGATGACAATGACACTGTCCCTGTCCCCAGAGGGGTGGTGATGGTGACACTGACAGTGACACTGTCCCTGTCCCCAGGGGGGGTGGTGATGGTGACAATGACTGTCCCTGTCCACAGGGGGGGGTGATGGTGACAATGACACTGTCCCTGTCCCCAGGGGGTGGTGGCAATGACACTGACACTGTCCCTGTCCCCAGGGGGGGGTGGTGATGGTGACAATGACAATGACACTGTCCCTGTCCCCAGGGAGGGTGATGACAATAACACTGGCACTGTCCCTGTCCCCAGAGGGGTGGTCATGGTGACAATGACACTGTCCCTGTCTCCAGGGGGGTGGTGATGGTGACAGTGACAGTGACACTGTCCCTGTCCCAGGGGGGTGATGATGGTGACAATGACACTGTCCCTGTCCCCAGGGGGGTGGTGACAATGACACTGACACTGTCCCTGTCCCCAGGGGGGGTGGTGATGGTGACAATGACAATGACACTGTCCCTGTCCCCAGGGGGGGTGGTGATGGTGACACTGACACTGTCCCTGTCCCCAGGGGGGGTGGTGATCTTCGCTGTGAACTCCCTGCTGTACCTGAACCAGAGTGTCCCTCCCTACGGGGTGGCCCTGAACAGCCTCACCTGCGGCACCACCGTCTTCCCTCTCCGTAAGGACAGCCCTGCCTGCCTCCCCCTCCTCCTCCTCCCCCTTCTCCTCCTCCTCCTCCCCCTTCTCCCCCTCATCCCCCTCATCCCCCTCTTCCTCCTCCTCCCATCCTTCTTTTCCCCCTCATCCTCTTTGTCCTTCCTCTCTTTGTCCTCATCTCTCTCCTTCTGCTTCCTTCCCATCATCCCTGCGCTTCTCTTCATTTTCTTCTTCATCTTCCTTCTTGTTCTCATCTTCCTCCTCCATCTCTTTTATCCCCTCCACCTCTTTTCTTCCCTTTCCTTCTTTCTTGTCTCCTTGCTCCTCTTCCTGCTCTTCCTCCTCCTTGTCCTTCTCTTCATCCTTGTTTGTCCTTCCAACCTTCTTCCTTCTTCTCTTCCTTCTTCTCCTCCCTGTTCTCATCTGCCTCAACCTCTTTGTACTTGTCTTTCTTTTCCCTGTCTTGCTTTCCTTTTCCTCCTCTTCTTCTTCTCTTTCCTCTTCTTCCTCCTCCTCTTCCTCGCTCTCTTTTCCTTCCTCCTCCTCACTCCTACTCATTTTCCTCCTCCCCTTCTTCCTTTTCTTCTTCCTCCTCCTCTTCCTCGCTCTCTTTTCCTTCCTCCTCCTCCTCCTCCTCCTCCTCGCTCCTACTCATTTTCCTCCTCCCCTTCTTCCTTTTCTTCTTCCTGCTCCTCGTGCTCTTCCTCCTCCTTGTCCTCTCCTTCCTCCTCCTCCTCCTCCTCCTCCTCCTCTTCCCCCCCGTTGTGGGGTGTCTGTGACCCCCCCGTTCCCCAGGGGTGCAGGAGGGGGTGAGGATGACTCTGGACTGCGCCCAGGCCACCTTCATCTCCTACGACAAGATGGTCATCTCGCTCAAAGGGGGGGAGATGTGAGTGTGGGCAGGTCCAGGGGGGGTTTTTGGGGAGGGGAGGGGGGCAGGTGACCCCCCCTGAGGTGTCCCCACGCCGTGTCCCCCTGTCCTGGCTCCGGTCACGGATGGGATTTGCTCCCTCTGCTCCTTCCTCCGGGACAACGGGGGGGTCTTGGGGTGCTCCTGGGAGGCTCTGGCGTGACCGTGGGGGGCTGTGGGTGGCCCTGGGGGGCTGTGGGTGACCTAGGGGGCTGTGGGGTGGCCCTGGGGGGCTGTGGGGTGACCCCAGGGTGTCCCCTGAGGGTGTCCCCCCCCGTGTCCCCGTCCCAGCTACGTGTGCTGATGCTGATCACAGACGGGATGAGCTCCTTCCACTGGGATAAGGGGGTCCCCGGGGGTCCCTGTGGGTCCTGGCTGACTCTGGGTGACCCTGGGGGGCTCTGGGGTGTGGGGTGACCCCTCCTGAGGGTGTCCCCCCCTTTGTGTCCCCCCCCCCAGCTACGTGCTGACACTGATCGCGGACGGGATGCGCTCCATCCATTCCTTCCACTGGGATAAGGGGGGGTCCCTGGGGGTCCCTGTGGGTCCTGGCTGACTGTGGGTGACCCAGGAGGGCTCTGGAGTGTGGGATGACCCCTCCTGAGGGTGTCTCCTGCTCCGTGTCCCCCCCCAGCTACGTGCTCACGCTGATCACGGACGGGATGCGCTCCGTCCGCTCCTTCCACTTCGACAAGGCCGCCGCCTCCGTCCTCACAACCTGTGTGAGTCTGGGGGGAGCAGGGGGGGCACCCCCGGGCCCGGGGACCCCCTGGGGCTCCCCTGTGACCCCCCTGTGTCCCCCTGTGCCCAGATGGTGCCGCTGGAGCCGGGGTACCTGTTCCTGGGGTCCCGCCTGGGCAACTCCCTGCTGCTCAAGTACACCGAGAAGCTGCAGGAGCCCCCGGCTGGGGCGGGCAAGGAGGGGCCTGAGCGCCAGGTGGGACCCCAAAAACCTCCCTGGCACCCCAAAATGCTCCCCAGGACTCCAGGATTTACCTTGGGGCTTCAAACACCTCCTGGGAACCCCAAAAGACCCCCTCCCCCCACTTCTGAGGACCCAAAACCTCATTCCAGGATCCCAAAACCCTCCCTGAGCACCCTAAAGTATCACTCTGGGGAACCTAAAACCTCTCCAAAGGGGCCCCAAAATTGTTCCCTGGTAGCCCAAACTCCTCCTTGCAGGGCCCCTGAACCCTCCTGGGGACCCCCAAAAGCTGCCCTGGGGACCTCAACACCCTCCTGGGATGCAAAACCTCCCTCCAGGGCGGGGGAGGGACCCAAAACCTCTCCCCAGGGCCCCAGAACCCTTTTGGGGACCCCAAACACTGCTCTGGGGACCCCAAAGCCTCCCCAGAGCCCACCCTGACTGAAGGGCTGTTTTGGGGGGCTCCTTCTCCCTCTTGTTCCCCTCCAGGAGGAGCCCCCAGTGAAGAAGAAGCGCTCGGACTCCTCGGGGCCATGGGCAGGTGGGGGACACCTGGGGACACCTGGGGACCCCCCAGTCAGGGTGGGTGGGGCACAGGGACATGGGGGACACGTGGGGACACCCCTGGGGGGGAGCAGAGCCCAAAGGACAGGGGGGTCCTGGGGTCACCTCGGGGGTGACACTGTGACAGGGGGTGACTGGGGGTAACTGGGGGGGTCACATGGGGATGGCAGGGGGGTGACATGGGGTGACATGAGGGGTGACTGGGTGTGATGGGGGCAGTGGGAGGGTGATGGGGTGGCAGTGGGTGACAAGAGATGGCAGAGGGTGCTGTAGGGTGGCAGCAGGTGACAGTGCTGTCCCTGTCCCCGAGGGGGGAAGCCGTCGGCGCAGGACGAGGTGGACGAGATCGAGGTGTACGGGAGCGAGGCCGCCTCGGGCACCCAGCTGGCCACCTACTCCTTTGAGGTACTGTCACCCCCTGTCACCCCCTGTGACCCTCTGTCACCTCTGTGACCCCCCTGTGACACCCAGCTGGCCACCTACTCCTTTGAGGTACTGTCACCCCCCTGTCACCCCCTGTGACCCCCCTGTGACACCCAGCTGGCCACCTACTCCTTTGAGGTACTGTCACCCCCCTGTGACCCCCTGTCACCTCTGTAACCTCCCTGTGACCCCCAGCTGGCCACCTACTCCTTCGAGGTACCCAGGGGACACCCCTCTGACCCTCTGTCACCCCCCAGGTGTGTGACAGCATCCTCACCATCTGTGACCCCCCCTGTAACCCCCATGTCCCCTCCATGTCCCCCAGGTGTGTGACAGCATCCTCAATGTCTGTTACCCCCTGTGACCCCCCGTGTCCCCTCTGTCCCCAGGTGTGTGACAGCATCCTCACCATCTGTGACCCCCCGTGTCCCCTCTGTCCCCAGATGTGTGACAGCATCCTCAATGTCTGTGACCCCCCTGTGACCCCCCGTGTCCCCTCCATGTCCCCCCAGGTGTGTGACAGCATCCTCAATGTCTGTTACCCCCTGTGACCCCCTGTGACCCCTCGTGTCCCCTCTGTCCCCAGGTGTGTGACAGCATCCTCAATGTCTGTGACCCCCCCTCTGTGACCCCCCGTGTCCTCTCTGTCCCCAGGTGTGTGACAGCATCCTCAATGTCTGTGACCCCCTCTGTGACCCCCGTGTCCTCTCTGTCCCCAGGTGTGTGACAGCATCCTCAATGTCTGTGACCCCCTCTGTGACCCCCGTGTCCCCTCTGTCCCCAGGTGTGTGACAGCATCCTCACTGTCTGTGACCCCCCCGTGTCCTCTCTGTCCCCAGGTGTGTGACAGCATCCTCAACATCGGGCCCTGTGCCAACGCAGCCATGGGGGAACCGGCCTTCCTGTCAGAGGAGGTGAGGGGGGGACACCCCAGAACTGCTGGAACCCCAAAATCCCCCCCCGCCCCGGGACCCCCCAGAGCTGCCCCCAGCTCGGGGTGACCCCCCTGTGTCCCCCAGTTCCAGAACAGCCCCGAGCCCGACCTGGAGATCGTCCTGTGCTCGGGCTACGGCAAGAACGGGGCCCTCACCGTGCTGCAGGTACCCCAAAATCATCCCTGGCACCCCAAAATCATCCCTGGCACCCCAAAATCCCCGTGAGCCCCTCCCAACACCCTCCAAACCCCTGTGCCCCCAAACCCCCTGTACTCGGGCTCCAGCAAGAACAGGGCCCTCACTGTGCTGCAGGTACCCCAAACCATCCCTGGCACCCCAAAATCATCCCTGGTACCCCAAAACCATCCCTGGCACCCCAAAACCATCCCTGAGCCCCCCCAAATCCCCCTGTGCCCTCAAACCCCTGTGCTCAGGCTATGGCAAGAACAGGGCCCTCACCGTGCTGCAGGTACCCCAAAATCATCCCTGACACCCCAAAACCATCCCTGGCACCCCAAAACCCCTGCTGAGCCCCTACCAACCCCCATACCCCAAAACCCCCTGCACCCCAAAGCCCCCTGACACCCTCAAACCCCTCCTGTACCCCCAAACCTTTCCTGTACCTCAAAATTCCCCTGTACCCCCAAACTCCCTGAACCCCCATGTACCTCCAAACACCCTGGTAACCCCAACCCTCCCTGTACCCTCCACCCCTGACACCCCCAAACCTCCCTGACACCCCCCCAACCTCCTGACACCCCAAACCCCTGACATCCCCAACCCCCTCTGACACCCCCAACCCCCTGACACCCCCAAACCTCCCTAACACCCCAACCCCCTGACACCCCCAAACCTCCCTAACACCCCAACCCCCTGACACCCTCAAACCCCCTGACACCCCCAAACCCCCTGACACCCCCAACCCCCGCACCGCCCAAGGCCCCCGGCCCGAGGTTCCCAGGGGGTCGGTTCTGGTGCCAGAGCAGGGCTGGGCACGAACCAGGGCAGTCCCGAGGGTGGGCACTGCCTGTACCCCCCAGCTACAGCCCCCAGCACCCCTGTACCCCCAAACACAGCCCCCCATCACCCCTGTACCCCACAGCTACAGCCCCCATCACCCCTGTACCCCCAACCACAGCCCCCTATCACCCCTGTACCCCCAACCACAGCCCCCATCACCCTGTACCCCCAACCACAGCCTCCATCACCCTGTACCCCCAACCACAGCCCCCATCACCCCTGTACCCCCATAGCTGCAGCCCCTATCACCCCTGTACCCCCAACCACGGCCCCCCATCACCCTGTACCCCCAACCACAGCCTCCATCACCCCTGTACCCCCATAGCTACAACCCCCCATCACCCCTGTACCCCCAACCACAGTCACACCCTCGTACCCCATAGCTACAGCCCCCATCACCCCTGTGCTAACCACAGCCCCCATCACCCCTGTACCCCCAACCACAGCCCCCATCACCCTGTACCCCAACCACAGCCCCCATCACCCTGTGCCCCCATGGCTACAGCCCCCATCACCCTGTGCCCCCATAGCTACGGCCCCCAGCACCCCTGTGCCCCCACCACAGCCCCCATCACCCTGTGCCCCGCAGCTACAGCCCCATCACCCCTGTGCCCCCAACCACAGCCCCCATCACCCTGTACTCCCCATGGCTAGCTAGCCCCATCACCCCTGTACCCCCAACCACAGCCCCCATCACCCTGTACCCCAGCTATGGCCCCTCATCACCCCTGTGCCCCCAACCACAGCCCCCATCACCCCTGTACCCCATAGCTACAGCCCCCAGCACCCCTGTACCCCCAACCACAGCCCCCATCACCCCTGTACCCCCAGCTACAACCCCATCACCCCTGTACCCCCAACCACAGCCTCCATCACCCCTGTACCCTCAAACACAGCCCCCCATCACCCCTGTACCCCCAAACACAGGCTCCCAGTTCTATGGGGCAGTCGGTGTCCCCGGCCCCTTGGGGCAGCCCCCTGGCCCCCCAGCTCTACAGGGCAGCCCCCACCCACTGTCCCCAACCCTGGGACCCCAGCCCGAGGCTGTCCCCTGTCCCCCCGTGCAGTGTGCCCTGTCCCCGTGTCCCCAGTGCCATGGGCAGCCCCAGCCCCGAGGGCTGTCCCCTGTCCCCCGTGACCGTGTCCCCTGTCCCCGTGTCCCCAGTGCCATGGGCAGCCCCAGCCCCGAGGGCTGTCCCCTGTCCCCCGTGACCGTGTCCCCTGTCCCCGTGTCCCCAGCGCCCTGGGCAGCCCGAGGCTGTCCCCGTGACCGTGTCCCCCTGTCCCCGTGTCCCCAGTGCCATGGGCAGCCCCCAGCCCCGAGGGCTGTCCCCCTGTCCCCCCGTGACGGTGTCCCCCTGTCCCCGTGTCCCCAGCGCAGTATCCGGCCCCAGGTGGTGACGACGTTCGAGCTGCCGGGCTGTTACGACATGTGGACGGTCACCGCGCCCCCCCCGCGGGACCAGGTGGGGCTGGGGGGCTGCGTGGCCCCTCCCCGTGTCCCTCTGTCCCCTCTCCCCTGTCCCCATGTCCCCGTGTCCCCTGTCCCCATCCCTGTCCCCATGTCCCCTGTGTCCTCCTGTCCCCCTCCCCTGTCCCCCGTGTCCCCTGTCCCCCTCCCCTGTCCCCATGTCCCCTGTGTCCTCCTGTCCCCTCCCTGTCCCCATGTCCCCTGTGTCCCCCTGTGTCCCCCTCCCTGTCCCCATGTCCCTGTGTCCCCTGTGTCCCCTCCTGTCCCCATGTCCCCTGTGTCCCCTTGTGTCCCCATCCCTGTGTCCCTCCCGCCCTGCTCCCCTCCACCCTGGTGTCCCCAAGGCCCCCTGCATCCCCCTGTGTCCCTGTGTCCCCTCCCCCTGTGACCCCATCCTGTGTCTCCATGTCCCCCTGTCCTGTTCTCCTGTGTCCCCCATGTCCCCTGTCCTGTGTACCCCCATTCCATGTCCTGCTCTGTGTCCCCATGTCCCCTGTCCTTGTGTACCCCCATTCCATGTCCTGCTCTGTGTCCCCCATGTCCCCCTGTCCTTGTGTACCCCCATTCCATGTCCTGCTCTGTGTCCCCCATGTCCCCCTGTCCTTGTGTACCCCCATTCCATGTCCTGCTCTGTGTCCCCCATGTCCCCCTGTCCCTGTGTCCCCCCATGTTCCCCTGTCCTTGTGTACCCCCATTCCATGTCCTGCTCTGTGTCCCCCATGTCCCTCTGTCCCTGTGTCCCCTCATGTCCCCCTGTCCCTTTGTACCCCCATTCCATGTCCTGCTCCCTGTCCCTGTGTCCCCTCATCCCTATGACACCCCTTCCCTGTGGCCACCATCCCACATCTCCATGTCCCCATGTCCCCTCCTCCCCACGTCCCCATGTGCCCCTCCCACGTCCCCATGTGCCCCCTCCCACATCCCCATGTGTCCCTGTCTCCATGTCCCCCATTCCTGTGTCCCTCCTGTCCCCCCACCCCTGTCCCCCTGTCCTGTGGCTGCCTGTCCTCCCCTCCCTGTGTGTTCCTCCCCTCTTGGTATCCGTGTCCCCATTCCCGTGTCCCCCATTCCCATGTCCCCATTCTATGTCCCCATTCCCATGTCCCCCATTCCCATGTCCCCTATTCCCATGTCCCTCATTCCCATGTCCCCAGTGTCCCCATTCCCATGTCCCCCCATTCCCGTGTCCCCCCATTACCATGTCCCCTGTTCCCGTGTCCCCATTCCCGTGTGTTCCCATGTCCCCCCATTCCCGTGTCCCCCCATGTCCCCCTATTCCTGTGTCCCCCATTCCCGTGTCCCCCCATTCCCGTGTCCCCCCATTCCCGTGTCCCCCCCGTCCCCATGCCGGTCCCTCCCCACAGCCGGAGGCGGCTCCGGGGACGAGCGCGGAGACGGAGACGGCGCCGGCTCCGGAGAGCTCTGAGGAGGATGGACAGAGACACGGGTTCCTCATCCTCAGCAGGGAGGACTCCACCATGGTGAGGGGACAGGGACAGGGGACAGGGGACAGGGGACACAGGGACACGGGTTCCTCATCCTCAGCAGGGAGGACTCCACCATGGTGAGGGGACAGGGACAGGGACACAGGGACACTGGGACAGGGGACACAGGGACAGAGACACGGGTTCCTCATCCTCAGCAGGGAGGACTCCACCATGGTGAGGGGACAGGGACAGGGGACAGGAGAGGACAGGGACAGGGACACAGGGACAGAGACACGGGTTCCTCATCCTCAGCAGGGAGGACTCCACCATGGTGAGGGGACAGGGACAGGGGACAGGGAACAGGGGACAGGGACAGGGGACACAGGGACAGAGACACGGGTTCCTCATCCGCAGCAGGGAGGACTCCACCATGGTGAGGGGACAGGGACAGGGGACAGGGGAGAGGGACAGGGGACAGGGGACAGGGACAGGGGACACAGGGACATGGGTTCTTCATCCTCAGCAGGGAGGACTCCACCATGGTGAGGGGACAGGGACAGGGGACACAGGGACACGGGTTCCTCATCCTCAGCAGGGAGGACTCCACCGTGGTGAGGGGATGGGGACAGGGGACACAGGGACAGGGGACAGGGACAGGGGCAGGGGACAGGGACAGGGGACACAGGGACAGGGACACTGGGACAGGGGTGTCACCAGGGTGGAGCTGGGGTCGGTCCCACCCCATGTGTCCCCAGGGACAGTGCCCAGGTTGTGGGGGCTCCCCTGGGTGCCGTGTCCCCCGATGTCCCCCCGATGTCCCCCGATGTCCCCCGATGTCCCCTGATGTCCCCTGATGTCCCCCGATGTCCCCCTGATGTCCCCCTGATGTCCCCGTGTCCCGCAGATCCTGCAGACGGGGCAGGAGATCCTGGAGCTGGACACGAGTGGCTTTGCCACGCAGGGACCCACCGTGTTCGCCGGCAACCTGGGCGAGGGGAAGTACATCGTGCAGGTGTCCCCCCTGGGGCTCAGGCTGCTCGAGGGAGGTGGGTGACACACCTGGGGACACACCTGGGGACATGGGACACACCTGGGGACACACCTGGGGACACACCTGGGCAAGGGGCAGTACATCGTGCAGGTGTCCCCCCTGGGGCTCAGGCTGCTCGAGGGAGGTGGGTGACACACCTGGGGACACACCTGGGATACACCTGGGGACATGGGACACACCTGGGGACACACCTAGGACACACCTGGGGACACACCTGGGACACACCTGGGCAAGGGGCAGTACATCGTGCAGGTGTCCCCCCTGGGGCTCAGGCTGCTCGAGGGAGGTGGGTGACACACCTGGGGACACACCTGGGATACACCTGGGGACATGGGACACACCTGGGGACACACCTAGGACACACCTGGGGACACACCTGGGACACACCTGGGCAAGGGGCAGTACATCGTGCAGGTGTCCCCCCTGGGGCTCAGGCTGCTCGAGGGAGGTGGGTCACACCTGGGGACACACCTGGGGACACACCTGGGACACACCTGGGGACATGGGACACACCTGGGGACACACCTGGGCGAGGGGCAGTACATCGTGCAGGTGTCCCCCCTGGGGCTCAGGCTGCTCGAGGGAGGTGGGTGACACACCTGGGGACACACCTGGGGACATGGGACACACCTGGGACACACCTGGGCGAGGGGAAGTACATCGTGCAGGTGTCCCCCCTGGGGCTCAGGCTGCTCGAGGGAGGTGGGTGACACACCTGGGGACATGGGACACACCTGGGACACACCTGGGCGAGGGGAAGTACATCGTGCAGGTGTCCCCCCTGGGGCTCAGGCTGCTCGAGGGAGGTGGGTCACACCTGGGGACACACCTGGGACACACCTGGGGACATGGGACACACCTGGGGACACAGGACACACCTGGGACACACCTGGGGATACACCTGGGGACACAGCTGGGTGCCCTGTCACCCCTGTGCTGGCTGCTGGAGGGAGGGAGGTGACCCGAGGGTGGCTCTGGGGTGATACCACAGTGACCACGTGTGTCCCCCCTGTCCCAGCTGCAGGAGGGTGGGGGGTGACACGGGGTGGGTGACACGGGTGGGTGACACAGGGTGGTGACATGGGGGTGACACGGGGGTGACACGGGGGTGGGTGACACGGGGGGTGACACAGGGTGGGTGACATGGGGTGACACGGGGGTGACACAGGTGGGTGACACAGGGTGGGTGACTCGGGGTGGGTGACACAGGGTGGGTGACATGGGGTGGGTAACATGGGGGTGACTCGGGGTGGGTGACATGGGGTGACACGGGGTGGGTGACACAGGGTGGGTGACAGTGGGTGACTCGGGTGGGTGACACGGGTGGGTGACATGGGGGTGACACGGGGGTGACACAGGGTGGGTGACACGGAGTGGGTGACATGGGAGGTGACACAGGGTGGGTGACACAGGGGGTGACATGAGGGGTGACACAGGGTGGGTGACACGGAGTGGGTGACATGGGAGGTGACACAGGGTGGGTAACACAGGGTGGGTGACATGGGGGGTGACACAGGGGGGGTGACACAGGATGGGTGACACAGGGTGGGTGACACAGGGGGGTGGCAGTGACCCCGCTGTGCCCCCGTGTCCCCGGCAGTGACGCAGCTGCACTTCGTGCCCGTGGATTTGGGGTCCCCCATCGTTCACTGCGCTGTGGCCGATCCTTCGGGGTCCTGCTCAGCGCCGAGGGCCACCTGGCCACCTTCACCCTCAAGGGGGACACCTACGGCGGCCGCGCCCCCCGCCTGGCCCTACTCCGGCCCCCCGTGTCACACGTGAGTGTCACCTGTGTCCCCAACACCCGTGTCACACGTGAGTGTCACCTGTGTCCCCAAACCCCCGCCTGGCCCTGCTCAGACCCCCTGTGTCACATGTGAGTGTCACCTGTGTCCCCAAACCCCCGCCTGGCCCTGCTCAGACCCCCTGTGTCACATGTGAGTGTCACCTGTGTCCCCAATCCCCCCGTGTCACACGTGAGTGTCACCTGTATCACCTGTGTCCCCAACACCCGTGTCACACGTGAGTGTCACCTGTGTCACCTGTGTCCCCAACAACCCTTCCTGGCCCTGCTCAGGCCCCCTGTGTCACATGTGAGTGTCACCTGCGTCACCTGTGTCCCCAACACCCGTGTCACACGTGAGTGTCACCTGTGTCACC